ACGCCGCGGCTAACGAGATCGTTCCGGGGGGGAAGAAATTTCGTAGGATTCTGGCCGCGAACGTGCGGCGGATGAAAGGTGAAACGGTAAACAGCAACACGATTTATTTATTCGGGAACGGGACGTGCGCGTTCATTCTCATTCCCGGCCCATGCTGGGACGGTTCCAGGGCCGACTCTTGACGCTGGCCAAGAGCCACGTTGACCCACGGAGGCGTGCCCACAATTGCGGTTTCTTGCTCTTTTCCCGCAGGAGACAATGCCGTGGGATCCCCCTCCCCTCCGACCCCGAAAAGTGTGCCGAATTACTCCGAATGCCTCCTATCCCCATCGTTTCTCCCCTTGTTTTCCCCGGGACGATCGATCCTCTTGCTATTCCAACATTTTAGAAACGAACGATAGGCCCACGAGATTCCATGAAGAGTGGGAGAAGAATCTGTAAATAATCACGCGTATCTCGAAATAATTCTCTGGAAACTATGTCGATGCACGATAGAAGATAAGATGGAAAGATAAAAGTCGTGTTTTAATAGCAAAGTATTTATAGAAAATTTATTTGTTAGATATTAGAATGAATTATCGAGAGTTAGAAAATATATTTCGTTCGATTCATTAAGTTTCTACTCAACTTGAGTAATTTCAAATTTAACTTTGATCGAATTAATCGAAGATAGTTGGTCCAAGATAATTAAATTCAAACCGACAAGATTTCGAAATATTAAAATTAAGAAAAAGAACTATTACTTTTCACACATCTCGATCGACAAAGCCGATTATCTTAGCCTCGAATAAGAAGGGAAAAAATTCGATCGCATGGATTGATCCGCAGGAATGCGAAATATCCGTCGTAAATAAGGAAGCCTATCGCGGAATTTCATTCGATACCCGTTATTTCCTCTCCCTCCCTCCCTCTCGATATTTCTCGTCCAATAGAATGCATTATAGCCCGCGTCTCGAATTTATCGCTGGCCAGGCAAAAATGGCTATAAATCCAAGGAGAGAATTTTCAATGGCCCTCTTACTTTTACTCTGCAAAGCGCGCCTCGGAATCGTATCGGTTTCCACGCTCCTGTTCGAATCGTCGATCCCTCCATCTCGAGGGGGGAGGGAGATGGAGAGCCAGGATTCGAGACAGGTTGGATTTACTAGATCCGGGGGAATACGGAGGTTTTAACATTTAAAATTTAAATGGCCACCGCTCTTTCTCGAGCGTTGCCGAGACGGGAAAACGGGATAAATAGACCTCCCTGCGGCTTCCCTCCCCTCCCTCCCCCAACTGTAACCGGCCCTCATTCGATATTCTTCTGGATAGATTTCTCCTCGGTTTTTAAAGTAAAAATCTACGACAACTGTCCCTTTCTTCCCCTCCCTCTTTTCTCTCGAGTTTCAGGTTTTTTTCTCTCTTTTCTTTTTTCCTCTCTCCCGTGAAACTCGTTCGTCGCCGACGGGCTGCTCGGTGTACATTTAGCGAGCAAACAGAATTCGATCGATGAGTGGCT